CTTTTTGGAAGTTTCTACGACCGCACGTTTGTCAACTGCTAATTAGCAAACTCGCGACGGGCAAATAAATTTATTAAACTGAACAACTCACTCCAAGTCCTGTTTAATTATATTTATACTTTGTATCTTCGAATTGGTCCAATTTCCCTTTACAAACAACCTTTCGTTTTTTTTTTTTCTATCAATTTAATTGTCACTGCTCAAAGTAGCTACTTCGTCCGAAAAATTTTCCTATAATTGAAATGCTCTTCCAAAGACTAATTATTTGTTGCAGCAGTACAAACCATGTTTTTCATTATCGAAATCGTCAGTCAATCGCATAAAATTCACAGCATTTCGCCAACTAAATTCGAATCTATTAGCTAAATCATTTGTTTGTTGTTACTCTGTAACAGGTAACAAATACTGTCCAAAACAGTGGAAAATGCTTCACAGTCCCTAATAACCATATAAAAAAAAAGACGTGGATAATAAAAAGAATCACAATAAATCACTAATTCGTCATCAAAAACATACAAAATTTCCTGACACAAATTAACCACACACACACACGTCAAATTTCTCTTTCCCGCCTAAAGGACACTTATGAAACATCCTCAAAAAACCTTTGCACACGCTGTCCCGTCCAAACAAAAGGGAACGGTGTACAGAAAGCATAACTCGTTGAAGGAACACGAACCCAGGAACGCTCTTTGTCGTCCAATTTCCTCTTTTCTCCGCGACAAAAAAAAAAAAAAAAAAAAAAAAGAAAGGGAGGGAATAAAACGGGAGGAAAAGGGAACGAATTTACCTGCACCGGGTATGACACTGGTCCTCGTCAAGATTTCCAGATAAATTCGAGAGACGCAACCAACAATTAGCATGACGGACGGGGGAAAAAGCAGGAGGAAAAAGAAGTGACGCGTGGCTTAAGAACGATGAAACGAGGGAAATAAGGGAAAAACGGGGGTTGACAATCGTGTTTCTTGGTGAAATTCCAGCGTCTCTCGGTGGGTTCGCGCTTGGTATCTCGCTAGGTTGGAATTCCAGGGCTAATATAGTGTTGAAGAACTATTTGGACGCCAGTGCAACAGAGATCGGACTGATCGGGGAGATTCTGAACGTTGGCGTCAGCATAGGGGCGATTATGATGCCGTTCATCGTCGGACGAATCACCAGAATGAACATTCTATTCGTGACGATGCTGGTCCTGATTTTCACGTGGACCATAGTGATTAGTCGTGGGCAAAAAGTAAGCGATTTTATCGTACACGCGTGAAATACGAAGTTGAGGAATTTTGCAGGTGTTTAACCCCTTAACGCTGTTTCAAATTATCAACTCTGTGTTCCTCGTTATTATTTCTTAAGCGAATAGAAATAAGTTTCCCATTATTTATAATGCTGTAACTTACGTTCTCGCCATAATAGAAAGGATAACGCAACATGTAAAGTGGGAGAAAATAATTTTAAAAATGACACTTATTATTAGAGTGTTTTAACAGAAGATTGTAAGGAACGAGGAAAGGAACATTATTTGTTTGTTTTTAAGGATTGCCATGAAATTTCAGGAGTTTCCTTGAACTTCACAAAATATTGTTTACTTTATCACGTTTTCGAGAGTCATGGAATGATATTTTTCAACTCGTTCCTCATCCACATTCTTTTCGGAGTTATAGTACCTATTGTTTTTTAAACGAAGTTACAGCAATTTTTAAACATTTCTTATTCCCAGTATTTACGAATTTCCTTATATTTTCCTTTTACTTAAATACACATTTTCCTACTTAACAAAAGTGAATTATTTTTCTATAATCTTTTCTTTTCTATAACTTTACTTTTCTATAATTTTTGACTAAACAGCCTACAAATGGAAATAGTAACTGCAACATTTTGAACATACGAATCTCATCAAGATTCACTTTTCTGTCTGTCTAACATTTATTTCTTCAGAATTCACAAGAACTACAAAAATTTTTTCTACTAAAATCGGCCAAAATTTTGCTACTCTTTCTAACAAACTCATAAATATATATTCTTCCCCTATTATCGCGTTTATTAATATTTTTCACGCATTCAGGTTTTACTAATGCTAGCTGGAAGACTGATATGTGGTATATGCGGCGGCCTGGCTTGCGTTCTGACGCCAATATACGTGGCGGAAATTGCGAGCAAAGAAATTCGAGGCCATTTGCTCGCATTTTTCCACGTTCTTGTCAACGTTGGCATCGCGTACGCCTTCTTTGTGGCCCACGCGATCGACGAAGAGAGAACAATATGGATGTACGTAAATATTTGATTCGTGTAAGTAAATCGATGTCAAAGAGGAAATTTTCAAACAAGATGCTCGCTTATTCCTTTTTTTTTTTTTTTTTTAAATGACCTTTAATTTCTGTCAATTTCGTGGAAACTTGGTTACGATACCACGTTGTTACATGGTTTTAATGTAAATTAATTCTACCTCAGTTTGACAGTCCTGCAGGTAAAATTAAACAGTTTACTCCTGATATTGGTGGTTGAAGTTTAATTGGATTGAAATTTAAGTGCATACTGGAACCACGTGGCAACTGTTTCGTTACACGATGCATAATTATGTAAACAATGCTGTGTCGCTTCGTTGTTTAATATTATTCGTACAATTCGGAAAATATTTGTTAGTGATGTACAGCGTGTAACAAAAATTCTCGGACACAGATTGCAAAAAAGTTTGATTTACGTATTGACTTTCTTTTATTTGAAATATTTTAGACATTTCACTTATTATGAATAAATTTGCTCAGACATAAAGTGTCATATTTCTGATTTGTTTCCTCTATTGTCTTCTTGTCTGCCATAATAAATTAGTAACCTCAGAGAACTTTTGTTACATACTTGTATAACTCAATACTTCCCACTTAACAAGTGACCTCAAATTTCAGTCAATTATGCAATTTTCTTTGGTACATATTTCCATTAATTTTCAGTGTCACATAAATTCAGCTGTGTTTAAAATCACTTTCCAATTGAATTTCAAAGCGAATACAGATTTTCTTTCACTTCTTCGATATCTTCTGACAAAATAGCTTTTTCCTAAATATTCCATTACTTATAATTTCCACTAACCATAAAAATCTCTCGGAATTTTATGTAAAATTCTGTTGGGAAGTGAAAATTGTAGGAATTTCAAATATTCTACTTCTTACACTTTCTATCAACCATAGAAATACTATTTTACTGAAATTTTATTAAAACTAACACTTGACTAGAATATTACCAAAGGAAAATAAATATTATTAAAAATCTGAGAAATTCTATTTTACCCAAAATTCGGTGAAAAAATGAAAGTTGTAGTGGAGATGAATTTCTCGAATCTCAGGCTACTTCGCAAATGTTCCAAATAATTTTCTCGATCGTACATAGAAGTGCGTTTTATCGAATCGAGGTTCGATAAGAATCTCGGAAATTTCGCTCGAGGACTGCGTAAATCAATTGTTTGTCGTAAAGGTACAGCACAATTTGTGGGCTCGCGTGCCTCTCGATCGCGCCAGCAAAATATTTACCTGAGAGTCCGCTCTACTATTTGTCGAGGAACGACGAGAACAATGCAGAGAAATCCTTGAGATGGTATCGCGGCGACACTTACGATGTCCAGCACGAAATCAGCGAAATGAAGCGGTTGCTTCTTACGTCTCGCTCGAAAAAGGTAGGAATGATCGATTTCTCGCGACGCGAAACACTTGCTCCAATTGTAAAGCACACTTTTTCCATACTGTTCGTAAATGGTACGCTATTTCAACGTAAACCGTTTCCCACATAATACACGACAACAAATTATTTATCCAAATTTTCGTGTGACACATTCTTCGTCCGAATTTTTATACGAAAAATTCTTTTTGTTACTATTTATGTTACTTCAACACGTGATACTTGGAGGTAAAAGGATTTAACATACGACAAAAATCTTTTTATCCGAATTGTCATATGGAAAATTGTTGAAAAGAATTCTTCGTCCGAAAACTTGTATTTGTTACTATTTATTTCATTTCAACACGTCACATTTGAAGGTAAAAAGATTCCTGTATAACGGTATATTTATTTTTGTCATTTTTATACGCATCCAGTAGGATTTACGAGAAATAAACATCAGCAGAGAATGCAATAAAATGGGAAAGCTTTGGAAGATTCAAGTTATATAAAAAACGTCGTATAACTTTCTAAGCTTTTCCATTTAGCCTCTTATTGGACTTGAACGTTTCTCATGTATGATAAATTCTCATATTGATATTCCGTTTTCTATGTGTATCTTCGTAAGGAGAAACCGAAACATAACTGAAGCTTGATTTTTTATGCAATTTTCTATGCATTGAAGACACTCAATTCTGTGATAATTGTTATGTGTTACGAATAATAATAATGATTAGATAAAATTATAAAAATTGAAATTAAAAATAAGTTATAATATTAATTATAATTAGACAAAATTCTGATCAAATTTTTCAAAGTACACTTCGAACTATCATTCTTATAAAAATCTTATTTATTGAAAAATAATTTTTATTTTACTTGATCGAATCTTACTTAATGAAAAATGTATATTGTCTGAATATTTGAAAAACTCATCTTTTTCTACGTACATAATGAAGATATTAATATGAAATGTTAAATATTAAAATTAGATAAAGTTTCGTTAAAATGTTTCAAAATACTTTTCAAACAATTCTTTCGTATACACATCTTCATATTTATTGATTTACAAGAAACTCTTTCAATATCTGAAAGACTGGTAACAATTTGTACCATCGAGTATTATTAATTTCCATACTGATGAACAGAATCCATCGAAACGAACAATGGCAAATCAACCGCGGTAAGAAAGAAAGATAGAAATGTAACTTCATCAGAATGACCTGACGTAACTAAACTCCATTGTTTGCGGATCTATTGTTTTCAAATCTGCCGGAGAAAGTTTGATGAAATTGAACATCGAAGAAGGAGGAAAAGGAAAATTGGAAAAACGAGAAACTCGGTGGAAGTTTCCCGATACAACGAGGCGACGTTTAAAATGCGCTTCTTTTTACTACGAGATATTTCATTATTTCGAAACTATTCAGATAAACTTCCAATTAAGCGAAGAGTCCGAAGAAAAAAAAAAGAACCGACTGACGGTAAAAACGAAAGAAAGCTCGATCAGTGTCGCACAATGAAAGCTCGTTAAATTATTTCCAACTTTAAGATTTTTCATCGCCTCCCGGTTATCAAGCTCGACGAAGTTAAAAATCGAATGAAAAAAAAAAGAAGAATAGTGAAATTAGAAAGAGTTTCGTTTAAAGTTGTTCGGAGCAATCAAACTCTCGTTAATTTTCAACTTCGTGCTGCATTATCTTCGTCGATTGCTTAAACAAACCTGCGCTATAACGGAGAGTAAACTGCGAAAGTGTAAATAGAATTTACTCGATCAACTGTTTCGAAATTTTGTATAATTCTGAGAAACAAGTAAAAATAAAAGTAAATTTATCATTCGGTAAAAGCCAATTTTTCGATGAAATTTTCAAATTTATCAGAAATCTGTTAAATATGTCGTTGAAGTTTTAATTAGAAATTAAAAGTGTTTTGGCTGAAATTAATTTAACGCACGGTTCGAAATTAAACGAAAAATTGTTTTAATCCGATAGAAAGTTCACGAATCGATGTTCAGTGAAAGCAGGCTACAGAATATCTGATGCTTCGTGTTCGTTTAAAATGTAAAAGAAAAGTTAATATGCAATATTTTGTAATTAGCTTTACAAGTTGAACATTTCAGAGTTCATTGATTAAAAAATTCCTTCAATTATACCAGACATCACATGTGTGTCAATTATACTAAATACTCAGAATTACCTCAACATATTAATCACAAAAGCAAAACTTCATAACATAAATAAAATACTATCTTTTAACATGTTTAAACTTTCCATCAACTATGTCTATCTTCAGTAGAACTTACTTTCTCAAATTTCTAATTCAATTACACTACCATTTTACTTTAAGTATTACCTGTTAAATTTCAATTCGAAGTAAAATTAAGAAAAATTCGTTTTGCTCAAATGAACCATCGTTACAATACCCTCAAATTTCCCATTAATCACTACAGAAACACACTTCGCCAAATTCCAAGTTGGATCGCTAATTACTTTCGCATTCTTCGATTCCAGTTCGATCATTAATTATTTTCGAATCCTTCAATTCCAGTTCAATCGCCAATTATTTTCGAATCCTTCAATTCCAATGTAATTATTAATTATTTTCGAATTTTTCAATTCCAATTTAATCACTAATTATCTTCGAATTTTTCAATTCCAGTTCAATCACTAATCATTTTCGAATCCTTCGATTCCAATTTAATTATTAATTACTTTCGAATTTTTCAGTTCCAATTTAATCACTGATCACTTTCGAATTCTTCAATTCCAGCTCAATCACCAATTATTTTCGAATCCTTCAAGTCCAATATAATTATTAATTATTTTCGAATTTTTCAATTCCAATTTAATCACTAATTATCTTCGAATTTTTCAATTCCAGTTCAATCTGAAATTATTCAAAAATCGCCGTGTTCTACGATCCATTGCGACTTGCTTCGGAGTGATACTGAGCCAGCACTTGTGCGGCGTCAACATGCTGATTTTCTACGCCCTGACATTCTTCGAGACCAGCGGTTCCGGTGAACTGACCGGAAGCGAACAGACGCTAGTCGTCGGCGCCGTTCAAATATTGGCATCCCTCTTGGCCACGTATCTCGTCGGTATATTTGGACGTCGAATTCTCCTCACTGTCTCCGCCCTGCTCATGGGGGTGTTCCTGATACTGTTAGGTAAACAAACGCTATGCTTGATGATTCAATGAAGTCAAGAATATTCTTGATACCATTGTAGCAGAAAATAAAACCAAACAGTGCATCTAATTCATTCTTCCTACCAACGAGAAATCAGATAGAGGAAAAATTTTATCTGGCTCAATGCAACATAAGATATTTTTAAAAAATTAACATTTCGACATATATCGATAGATGTATCCTAAAAACAACGAGCTTAAAAAAATCATAATAGAACTTGAATGATTAGAAAACGAGATTATTTGAAGAAAAAAAAGAATTTTGCTACCAAGGGAAATAAGATTTCTCGAAAATTTCGAAATACTCGATTAGAGATTAAGAGCTTTCTTCAGGAATTTATTTTGAGATAACAAAAACCTTTTCCTTAACAAAATTTTGCTGTTAATCATAGACACGTATGTAAACAATATACACGAATATTTTAAACGAATGCGAGTAATTGCAATTTGAATAGAATTCACGTGACTTTATTCCGACTCGTCACTTCTACAATTGCAATTTCGCTCCGAAATTTCGTCTGGTTCATTTCCATATATCCGATGCAAACGAACACTGGGCGAACATCGTGCAACATGTACTTTCGTTCATTTCTGGCTGAGAAAGTTTCTAAAGAAAAATTGACGTCCAATGGGTACATCTACGATCCTGGCTTTGGTCCAGCTTAAAATACGATCTCTTCTGCAATACTTCCGGACCGTACTACTAATTCAACTTAAAATTTCCTTCGTATTTATTTTATTACACGTAATTATAAATCGGAATAAAAGGTTCTCGTCTTCATAGTTATAATAATTTTCATTGAATTATAACCTGATATATCGTTGATTATTGAAATTATTAAACGTTCACTTCGGAAGCTTATTGTCACTGCTAAATTACGAAATATTTTTCAGTTGAAATTATCTATATTATAAGAAAGTATATTGTGATAATTATGCACTCACAATATTCGCTCATCAAATATTTTCAAAATTCTATTAAACTCGATCCTAAGAAAAATTCTCAACTTCAGTGATTATGAATATGACCTAAATTATTTTTCATTTCAAAATACTTTTTTAACCACCCTTTTCTTAACTCAGCTTCTGACTACTTTGCAAAAATAATTCCACGTTATGCAGCACAAAGTAAGTAATAAATTCAACTTCTCAAATAAATTCGTGAGTAACAAAATAAGTAAAAAATTCAATTTTCTAAATAAATTCGTAAACAATAAAATAAGTAAAATATTCAATTTTTTCCACTTTTAACTTGCACATATTTCCACTTAGGCCACTTTCACAATCACCACCACTCATCGTCAACCTCTCCAACACCTCGATCACAATTTCACCCAATTAATTACAGGCTGGTTCTTCAAACTGCGCGACACCGATCCCGAGTACGACGACATTTACTTCTGGATGTCACCCACCTGGGCCACCCTGATCTTCGCTGCCTACAACCTAGGTCTCGGACCAATTTCCTGGTCGATTTTAGGCGACACTCTTCCAGAAGAACTGAAAGTTCCAGTCGCCTCTACCGCAGTTGCCTTTGGATGGCTGATATCGTTAATGGCCACGTTAACTTTCGAAGAAATGATCGTTAAACTGGGCGGCACGAAGGTTATGTGGCTCTCGGCTGCTGTATGTTGGCTGATAGCTCTATTCTGCGCCATTGTGGTCAAGGACACCAGTGGCAAAAGCCTGATCGAGATCCAAGAAGATTTTCGCATCGAGTCCAACAGAGGCGTGCAACAAGCCTGATGGTTCTCGTCGAAATTCAAGTATAACTGGGATTTATGCCGATGGATTTCCATTTCCTGCCAATCTTCGCTGGGATAATAGCTCGACTTGTTGTATCTTACAACCGATTGAACGAAGAAACTGTTTTCACAGTGGTTAAAAGCGAGAAGAAAGTACCGCGATTAGTTGACTAGAGTTACTTGTTAGACGAATGTGTACATAGCGATTGTTGATAGTCAACAGACAGCGAGGAAACTGTTGTTTGTCTTGGCCTGAACCGGCTGCTTTTTCAACCTTCGCGGTGTTCAACGCCGGCTTGTCGACCCGATGAAACCGGCACGATTTGTCTAGACGTGATTTGTTTGTTTGTTTGTTTGCTTGTGAGAATTGCCGGATAAGTGTTCTTGCCCTTTTCCTGCTTTCGGTAATTTCGAACGATCGAATTGAACTTCCGTCAACTTTCCTAGCTTCTTTTTAACGTCGATTGTTGCGTTAAATTTGTACACTCTGCTTTTTGTTTGACAAATTCTAATCATTTGGAACAATCGAGTTGAAGATTTATCAACTTTCCTAGCTTCGTTTTAATGTTGATTATCGTATTAAGTTTGTCGAATTAAGAAACAATCAATGCTGTTTACTCCGCCTTTTTTGCCAAGTTTCAGTCTTTTTGAACAATCGAGTTGAAAATTTATCAACTTTTAACGTCGATTATTGTATTAAATTTGTCGAACCAAGAAGCAATTTTGTAACGAAATATTCATAATGCTTTAACAGTTTCTTCTTGTTTCTATTACATTTTTGTCTCAATCTCGTCAGAATGATTTTATGTTAATTATTTACGTTTTTAGCAAATTATTAGCAAACGACTTGCTAATCTTGTAACTATAAAAATTTCAATATTATCATTGTCGTCGTTCTACTTCCAAAAATATCCTTCAACATTCTCCACGGAAGGTACATTGCTATACCTGATTCAGATAATTCAATTATCTCTTCATTTATTAAAAAAAAAAACAAGTGTCAACCTTAACTCGTAATTTTCTCTTTTTTCTTCGCTTTTCACGAAAACAATCGACCGTAAATTCTGTCAAATGTAAATAGCGCAACGGAAAGTAGCAGAGGCGTAATAATTGCTTCTATTTTTCGTTCTAATTTCCATTCTGAATCTGCAAACTGTTCAAATTGACCGAAGTGCGTATCGTTTTAAACGCCACCGAATCGTCAAACTTGCAAGTAAATATTTGCTGGTTTGCTTGAAATTGTAACCAGCGCATTGTCGGATTTCTCCTGAATTTATCCGACACAGTTCGATTCAGCTTATCCTCGTATATTATCTTCGAACGTTTCATTCAATAGAATAAACACGAATTAACAAGGATAAATAAAAGACGACGAAATAGTGACAGTAGCAGTAAATAACGACAAAGAAGCATAAAATGCTTGATATTTATTTCACTGGAAAAGTAATAAGTAGCATGAGTTGCCAGAAATTGTTCGAGATTTGTCGGTGTCTTTGTACTTAACAGTGTAATATAAGAGAGAATAAGTTCAATGTGTATTTTTGCCTGAAGAAAGGTATTTTAAACGGACGCGTGTGAGTTAGAATTGTCATAGTAGGTAATTATTTTCTTGAGTTTCAAATAGAACGTTTTCTATTAATCGAAAGGTACTTTCTTGTCTTTTCTGAACTTACGGTAAATTGGTCAATTTATTGAATCAATTATGTGTACTGTAACTAGTATTTTAAAAACGCGAAATGCAATCAAATCTATATAATACAATCAATCACTAATGAAAAAGAGACTGCATTCCAGAAATTAACTAGCTCCGTTAAACTTACATTTAATTGTGATTAATGGAAAAGGAAAAGGCAACCTATAGATCGTTGTAATGCAAATAAGAGAAGAAATCTTCATTGCCTATGTGGAAATTATTTCACTTCTATCTGAAAATTATTGAAATAATCTAAATAATTTCTCCTGTAACTTGAAATAAACTAAATTAATAATTTAAATAATTGCATGTAATGTACATTATTCAATTAAATCTAATACACCCTGTACTGCTTTACATTAAATGTAGACTTGCAAACAGTTTTGCGGAACATCAATGCAAAATATTTTTATAATACTCATTCGACGTTAAAAAAGATTGAGTGCAATCACGAAAGTAAATTAACGTTTCCTATAAACGTTAATCGGAAGAAATAGTTTCTTGCAAATATTTTTATAAAAAAGTTCAAAATTTTCATTAACTAAACGAAGATTTTAGAGAAATTGAATATCTGAATACAATTTTTTCATTCGTACTTCTACCTTCAAATAAAACTTTCATTAAACAAACCAAGATTTCAGAAAAATGCAAAATTTTCTCTGAGTAAAGAAAAATTTCAGATAAATAGAAAATTTTCTTGGAGTAAACGAAGATTTCAGAAAAATGCAATTAAATATACCAACAGAATTTCTTTATCCATATTTAAAACCCTATTAAGACACAACAGCACATTCTACCCCCATAAACCATACTTTCATTATACATTCAACCGCCAAATAAAAAAACAGCTCTCTGAAACATCAATTTTCAAACTTTCAATAGTCGTTAAAATTCAATTGTTCATCTTCCTCCCCAAAACTCCAAGTATCGATTTCGGAAAATTTCAATTATATCATTTCTCAAGGGTATAACGAATAAAAAGTAAATCATCTCGAGGAGATGAAGTAATAGCCGAACCGTATTGAAAGTTGGCCTTCGATTCGCGATATTCTCGATTCCCGGTCACGAGTTTGTCTCTCGTTGCATCGTCTCAATGGGTTAACGAGAACACTTATCGGCCTCTGTATCGAATGGAACGCGCACGTTCGCTGGCCGCCAGCCAAAAAGACGCCAAGAAGATTCGTGGACGTATTTTGTTCCGGGCCTGATATATCGCGAACAGATGCAACGGATCTTCGTGCAGCCTTTTGACAAAAATAACACGGCGAAGGCGATCGGTCGAGTCGAGGAACGATTTCATTACGGACCCCGTTTATATTTACCCTAGCGAATGCACAAGGTGCCTCGGGGGTTTCCTATCGAAATTTATCTTTCGCGAATGGAAAGAAACGAGGAAAATTATCGATGGAAAATTTCTCGCCGGAAAATTATGGCACAGTAGTGGACTGAAGAGCAGTTTCGGTGGATTTTGCTCTTCGCGATATTGGTAACCGTGATTGGAGCAAGCTTTGTCACTCGAAATATTTGAATTTCATTGACGAATTGTACAATGTGGAAATTGGCGGCAGAACGACTATCGATGAAAATATTGAAAGAAACGAGGAAAATTATCGATGGAAACATGGATTGGAAAATTTCTCGTCGGAAAATTATGGCACAGTGATGGACTGAAGAGTAGTTTCGGTGAATTTTATGCAAGTTTTGTGACTCGATATAACTGAATTTACTCGTTGACGAATTCTAAAATGTGAAAATTGGCGGCAAAACGACTATCGATGAAAATATTGAAAAATTAACGAGTTAAATTGAATAATAAGACACGTTTACATCGATAGTATAGTATAAATAAAAATGTGAACGAATATTGCAATAAAGTGTCGATCGAAATTTATGTTTTTCAGGAATAAAAAATCAGAAACGAAGAAAATTATCTGTGAAAGTACGAGTTGGAAAATTTCTCGTTGCAAAATTGTGGCATAATTTCGATTTTGTGATTCACACAGTATTGGTAACCATTGCTATTACAAGCTTTGTGACTCGAGATAATTGAATTTGAAAAGTGAAAATTGGCGGCAAAATGGCTATCGGTGAGAATATTCGAACATTGACAGGTTAAATTAAGTAATAGATACCTTTGTGCCGACAGTACACTATAAATAACAACGCGAGCCAATATTGTAACAAAGCGTCATTTTTATGGAACCGTTATTTCAAATTTTTGCACGCTACTCCTGTCTATATATCTTTTCGATTACTTTCTATTTCACTTTCGTATTTTATTTTCTTACACAATATTTTATTACCGTAAATCCATTGGCGTGTCACATTTTTAACGCACATTACCCACAGTCATAAATTTATTCCGAAAATTCCCGAAACACCCTGTATTTATTCGACGACAATCTACGACCTCGTTCCTCTATTAATCACACGTTCGATTTTTCAGGTTTTTCGTGACTTGCCTTTCCTCTCTCCATCCGTCTCAAGGTAGATTAAATGTGGAGAAAATATGTTTGACTTGCGGCCAACATTGGATCTTATTGCATTAGCCATGGCATTGTTGAAAAATCAGGAAACATCATCGTTCGATGATTAATGCCAACGTTATGTATTGCTTGCTCACTGCATTTGTGCAAACATTTTTCAAAATGATATACGATATGATTTCACATTTACCGCGAAGAAAGGAAGAAAAACGTTCAAAAACCAATTTCGATGGAGAAGAAAATTCTAATTGATCGACGTATTGCACGCTTATTGTAAATATTTTTAAGAATACTTATTTTTGTATTTGCATAATTTTGTAGTAAAGAAAAATGAAATTGATCGGCGTATTGCACGCCCTTCGTAAATATTTTTAAAAATTTTTGTTTTAATTATTAGCATAGTTTTGATATAAAGAAAAATTAAATTGATCGATATGTCGCATGCCCTTCATAAATATTTTTAATATTTTTGTTCTTGTTATTAACACAATTTTCATATAAGGAAAAAGCAAATTGATTAACATGTTGCAGATGTTTTCATAAAATTTCGATATTCGTGCATTCTTTTATGGCGGTATATTAACATATTTCAGCACATTTTTATTAACATATTTTAAAAATTAAAATACTATTTAATCAGGGTAATTGGATCGATTTGAAGCAATACGCGAGCGTTAATTTTAAGTTGATTGATATTACAACAGTGCTGAAAATGCAAATTAATAGTAATTGGCACAATTTTGTCAAAGGATGCAATGTCCATTTCAATTATTACACTTTAATACATTTTCTGTGCTTCTAATAATCTGCCATAGAACGTTC